ATTTTCTGCAGTTTTCACCTCATTCCAAGACTGTTCAGTTTTCTGCCAATTTTAAAAATTCAGACACCAAAAAAAAAATCAATGATGCTGAATACAGTAATGCATATTTAGAAAGATATATGGAATAAATAAATTTGTTCTTCAATGGCTTGTGAAAAATCCAGATTTTATTTACTTATTGGAGTCTTTACTTATTCCACACCTAAAAATTCAACATACAAATTCTGGGCATGCAGAATTCTTCAGAGAATTCTTAAAATGCTATATAGCTTGCACAGCATATCTTTGTCTATACAAATCCTGATTTTCAGATCAAACAGAAGGGAGAAAATTTTTTAAGCTGCCTTTATTGCCATGCCAAAACCCTCATCTCCAAGGCCTTGTATAAAGCTGAACTTGTCAATTTGTAATTAAATCTTATAGGATACAGCAGTGATACTCGTCAAAGAAAAGGCCTTTTATAGTCTGCAATCTTATGTTCAACTAACAGGATGACACAAAAGTCACATTTCACAGAAGTTTTATGTCTGTTATTTCATGCTGGAATAATGCTGCATAAACTAATTAGCCAGTATAATAGTGTCAGGGTATACTCAGAGAAAAAAATGGATCTGGCAAAATACCTCTGACTTTCTAATATTTATAATGACCTGTGTATTACTGAGACAATATTCTTACACTTGAAGGGTTAGTCTTTTGCAGTGCTAAGAAATAAATCTTATTTAGTCTAAGGCACTCAAAATCTCTCAGTCTAAGGCACTTAGATCATACATAATTAATGTAGGATGGTGTAGCTACCATTTCACAAATCACTTTTTTTTTTTTACAGTTTGAAACAATGGCCACAGTTCTGGAAAAACCAAAGCTGGAAAAAAGCTAGTAAAATTAAAGACAAATATCATTACAACATAGGTCCTTCAGTTAATTCATCCACTGAAGTAGATAGAATGCAATAAATGAGATAACACAATAAGTTTTTCAAGGAGTTGAATTAAAGCAGCAATGCACTGAGGGTAGCAAGAAGGTTTTTCATATCTGTGAATTCTTGGCATGTATTTTTTGCTGTTTTTTTTTTTTCTGTTGTTGTTTGGGGTTTTGTTTTTTGATTTTTGGTTTTTTTAGGGTTTTGGGGGGCTTTTTTGTGAGTTTTTTTGGTTTGATTTGGTTAATTTGATTTTTGGTGGGGGGTTTAGGGGTTTTTTGGGGTTGTGTTTATTGGTTTCTCTTTTGTCTTTTTGTTTGAAAGACAACCCATTAAGGAATATCACAGAAAAAGGCAGGAAGATGGAAAAGAAAGAAGATTGAAAGAGTAATGAAGGATTTGAAGGCAGGTGAATTTACTGCTTTAAATTTATCACAGAGTTCTAACTCCCAGAAAACTTCTTTCTTCAGATTCTTGTAGATTTGCAGGTAGTTAAGATATGTATAAACTTTTAGAGGCATGATGAATGTTTGTAAAGCACATCTGTCTTTCAAATAAATGAATGAAGATGATACTGGATTCTCAGAAAACCACCAATCCCTGCAAGATCTACTAAAATGAAGTCATAATATTGGTATAGTTTCACAATAGCAAGTGAGTTTCAAAAATTGGAAAACTAAATAAATGTGTAGGAAACTGTCACATGTAAATATTTTTCCTGTGACTACATGACTTTTCCAGGGAGTTACAAAGCTCTTCATATTGCTGCATCCGTGTAAGCAATCTCAGTATCTGTAAGGATGAATGGAAAAAACATTCACACAGATCCTGACCAGCAGCTCCTCTTTTGTAGTCAGTGTGGAGAACATTTTCAGTCCAAATCTGTATATCATTTGGATATTTATATTGTTGCTCTCTTATCCTGACAAGAAATTTAGACTTTTATCAAAATACCAACATATTTATATGACAATTTCTGCTACTAGAAAGCAGTGGCAACTTTACCCTTTTTAGATATTTGATACTGCTTTAAAAGGATGACTATTCCAGATTCACATTTAAAAAGCCTGTATTTTTATGCATTCAGAAAGGACAGCCAGGTATATTAATTAATGTCAAAAAGATTTACAGTAGGATTTAAATGTTCTTTTCAGCAGAGGCCAACAAAACAAGTTGTAAAAAAGAAAAAAAAAATTATAGCAGTTTTTAACTATAGAATTATGAGTTATGGAGTAAGTATTTTACTTCATTCAGCAGGAGGTTAATATCTTCATGTCTTTCTTCCTTTCTTTAAAAAGAAAATCAGGCTTAAAGAAATTAGAAAATTGAAATATTACTGTGAAATTACCAGATAGCCCATCTTTCTGATAGCTTATGGAGCACAAGAAGAAAATTGAAATTAGTCAGTGAAACATTAATTTCTACAACTAGGACTAAAATTTTAATTTCCAAATCTACTGCTGATGTTCTAAAGTGCTCAGAAAATCATGTATATGTTTTAGCTTAAGTAGTAATGTAGTTAGGACAGATTAACTCCTTGTGCCTAGTTTGCTTTACTTTTTATGCATTACATGAAAATTAACACAGCTGGGATAAGAAAATTAAAAAAAAAAAAACAAAAAACCAAACCATCAATGAAAGAGAGAAGCATTGAAATAATATCTGTGATATTTAGGTGACATGTCCCAGATTAAAAATGGAAGTAAAAATGTTAGCCAAAAATGTTTTCATCTTCAAAGGAAAAACATTATGAATTACTGTGTATAGATTTTTTAGTATTCAGGAAGTTTATCATCTTTAGCAATGCTCAAAAGCCAACTAAGACAGAATGTTTAATATCTCTAAAGGAGAAAAAATGTCGGCTTTTCATGAGATGCAATTTCCTGTTCATGCCTGACTTGCAAATCTCTAAGTAACTGGACATGTTTCAGTTTTGTGTTCTTGAGAAAGAGTTATGAATTTAACAATTTAAAAATAATTATGTCTCTATAAATGCTTTTAAATTGGTCGCCAGTACTTATTAGATGGAAACACAAGGTTGAAGTTCCTAGTTTAACTTACAGATTTTTCATTTAAATACTGTGAATTCTAAATTATTGATTTAATAATCTATCTTTCATTAGGCCTTAATAAGTACTGATATATAAAAAAATTATAATTTAACTGTGGAAGTGATGGGGAAGGAATTCTAAATCCATGCAGTTTAAGGTTTTTCCTTTGGTCTACAGTATACTGTTATTTTAAAGTGGAAAGAAACTACTTCCATTTGGTTTGTGCTTCATCCCAGTATAGAACATGAACTTCTCGACTGAAAAAAACCAATCAATTTCTGGATATATTTTGCAGCTATAAAGACTGCAATAAAAAATCATAATAAAAAACCCCAAACAAACAAACAAAAAAACCCCAGATATAACAATCTTATAATATATTTTACTTTTCCTTTATTGCATTAATTTCTTATCATGTATAGGGAAATGGAAGCATAATAAAGCATTTTCTAATACCCCCACTAGGAGAAGAAACGTAATTTCCAACAAAAATTATATTTTGAGTAAATGTAACCTTTATCCATTGAAAGCATGCTGATTGACTTTTAGGAAAAAAATGCATTATTTCCAAATTAAATGATTATTCATTTGCAGGGATCAGGACTTCAGGAGGTTTTTAGAACAGACTTAGGCTTGAATAAGACTACACCAAAAGGAGTAGATTTATCTCTGCAGCTCTGTAGCACATCCCCCTGACCCCAGAAAGAGGACCCAGTGACAAAGCAAGAAATTGAGTCTATCTTTAATTGCTACAAAAAGGTTTGCTAGTGGATACCAAAAAATTCATTAAGAATCTTGACGGAATAATTACTGGCTATTCAGTGGCTACATCAGAGATAGAATTAAACTACCCATTGAATGACTTTTATCTATCTACATGGTATTAAATAAAGATCAGCTTTTCCAGAATAATATTAGAAAAGATAATCCGGTGTAAAGTCTCCTGAATAGCTGAAGATTTGAGACACGAAGTTCTTGATAGAAACAGCCTGTCTGAATCAAACATGTTCCACCCAGGAACATGGTTCTGATGACCCCCGAATATGACCTACTCCCAGTGGAAAACAATTTAATGCTCTACTGCACACAGAACAGTGTATATGAATACTGGGGAGCTGGGGAGAACCCAAACAGATTAATTACTGACAGGTACATTTGAATGTGACTGCTTCTTAGGCACTTGTCTGCAGCCAGGCAAGATTGTTTCACCTCAGTCAGAGAAACATGGCAGGCTCTGCAAGCTCTCATTAGGCAAACGGCCTCCATTGTCCATTAGAGGGAAAATCCCCCTATTATTTAAGGAAATGTGACAGCAGTGGAGCTGAAGTTTTGGCAGGAAATTCATCAGTGCATTACAAAGCTTTTTGCCTTCTACAACTTTCACCAGCCTCTTTCCACTCTTTTATCTGACAGCTCAAATGCCTCAGGGTTGTGGTCATGGCAAAGGTCAAGAACATAACAGCGGGACTGTAAAAAAGAGATTCTTTCAGGGGGAGAAGCTGCCATACACAAGCAAGGTAATTGAGCACAAGACAATGAGATGAAAGCTCACATCTCAAAAAAATATCTAATTAGTTACCGTTACTTCTGAAAAACCATTAAGAATCTTAAAAAATTATTTAGAACTCTTACATACTCTCTGAAACCTAATGCAAGTAAGGAATATGAAATTATCCATTATAACATAAATATTGGAAAGCCTCCTATGTTGGGAACAATTGCAAACATGCATAAATAATAAGTAGTCCTTTTTTAGAAAAAAACCCATGACAGTTGCAAACTATTAATTTAAAATATAATAAAATAATGTATTGCTTATACCAAGATGACTTAATTCGTATACAAATGTGTGTTTTACTGAAGACTAATTTACTTCAGCAAGATGCTTAATTAAATAAGAACCTGAAAATGTGTATTTCTGTTATTAAAAAAATTTGCAATGTTATAGTGGTCGAGTTTAAAGCTAAGAAGTTTGCTATGTCTTTAATTACTTATCATCAGTGGTAGCAATGAGGTGAATTTGAATTATCTGTCACAATGCCCAGTTGTACGCTTATCAGGTCAAGGAACAGGTTGACTATCTGATTAAAAAAGCCACAAAGAAAAAACAGAATCTTAACTTCCTATTCCATCAAACAATAATTTTTAAACATACACATATTCAGTGTGTGCAAGGAATAAAGGAATTTAACAAGAATGAAATAGTTTTTGTATGTACATTCATTCAGATATGAATTTGACAATGGACCAAAGTGTCCATTGTCAGTACTTGGTTCCTATTAATATGCACACATCACATTAAAACATACTTGAAAGTAACTCACCCAGTAAAAATTCTTAGGCTCAAACACCAATGGTTTTAAGTATAGGTGTAGTTATACCAACATCTTTCATTCTCCAGATTGTATAATAAAATGCATTATTCAAACAAGAATGGACTGACCTCAGAGAGATAAATAGTCTTTATTTTTAAACTGGTTTTATAAGATTCATTTTTCCAACTAATCCCCACACATATAGATACCTACAAAATATGCTGCTGGATGAGATAAATAACATCACATTTAGAGACCTGAGATTCTTCTGATCTTCATTTATAGATTTCATACAGGTGTTCTAGTCTGGATGAGATGTTTAAATTGGGAAGCTTGGATGAAAAATGATGTATGTTTTTTTTGAACATACATCTGTGTTGTTCTCTATTGTTATGACTGGTATTAAGGAGACCATCTAAGGAAGTATATTTCATTATTCCATCTTTATCTAGTCTACATTCAGAACACAGTAATAATAATATTAATAATAATAATAATAATAATAATAATAATAATAATAATAATAATAATAAAAAAAATATTAACAATTATTTTAAAGTTTGAAATATTGTCATAAACTATGTCAGGCAAAAATAGCTGATTTTGCAGAAAGAAACTGAATTAATTTATCTTGAAATATATTAGCAAGAATTGGTTTCTACTGCACTGTCTGCAAAATATGTTATCTTAATTTTATATGTAATACTTCAATATCTGTACAATCTAAATGAAACTCTTGGAAAACAGCAGAGTGACCATTACTGTTAGAATTTGCTGAAAAAATGCTTATCAAATATTTAGTTGCCTTAGACTTTACAATCAGCAATGGCACTATGCAGATTGATTAGGCCTATCTAGTTGTAAAAGTTATAACAAATGCTTGTTGCTTTCAGTGCATTTATCTCATCTGCAATATCTTATGATAATTATTTCACCTCTTTAATTTTTTTTCTGGAGCTGATTCTTTCTATGAAATACTTGAATAAAACACAATTGTATACATGTTCTGAAATTCCAGGAAATGTATTTCAGATATTTCAATATTCTAAAATTAAAAAATTCATGATGTACCTTGCTGGCCCTTGAGTTTCATTAATCTATTTTCACAGTGTACATTTTATGCTGAGTAGACTAAAATGAGTTTAAAGAAGGAAAAATTATAAATATTTATATTTGTTAGCATTTGTACATATAATACAGAAATTTATAAATCCCTTAAAAAGATTTTATTTTGCCATATGTGTCACGTAACACACCTTCTTACATTATATAAGTGAGATCGCTAGTTTTATGCCAAGAAATATTTTGGGAGTATTTCACACTAATAAAAGCAGGATATTTTCCTGCAGATATTGTATATTACGTGCATTTCTGTATCTGTGAATTGCTCAACCTCTGTTTTTCTATCTACCTTTATGTTTGTGTATGTAGAAACATATGTATGTAACTAAATTCAACAGGATGTGCAAAAAGCAAGGGAGCACTATTCCTCTCCTTTTCCTGTCATCATTACCATGGCTCAGAATGGCACACAGTCTCCTGATGTGCAGTCTATGCACACTCACTCCACTCACTGAAGGTGCTATTACCAGCTTTGGAGATGCCTGAAGCTGATTTCTTTGGGCACCACTACATACTTATGTGGGTTAAGCTAATAGGCCCTAAATCACTCTTTTATGTGGTCAACGGAGAGCAGATGGCCTACAGTATCACTGAGTCAAGAATTTGAATATTTCCCCTTAAATCTTGGGTTACCAGAAGACAAGAAAACAATAGAGAAGACATTTTTTTTCAAAGGTAATCAGCACAATGGAAACAATGGCAAGCAAAAAAATTAGAATCAAGAAGGGTTGTCTTGGAAAGAGAACATGAAGGAAAAGGCAGCAGAGAGGAGGGCTGGCAGGGAACCTGATCCCCTGACTACCTCCAGCATGAATGCAAGGAGAACTGGTCTTCCCATCTCGAAGATAACAATTTCTGATATATTAGTGATGCAATGAACTTCTAACATATCCACCAACAGAAAAGGTAAAATTATAAAAATAACAAAAGAAATGCCTGTAAACCTCCTCAGTCCCAGTGAAGGGAAAATACACCTAAACCTCTTAAACTTAATTTCTATTTGAGCGGTCGTATGCGAGAGAGAAGCATTTACAGTTTGTAGAGCAGTGTAATTTCAAGGACAGAAAGTGTTTATTTTAATAAAATAAAACAAACATAGTCTAATTATTTACAATATTAAGCTTTCATGACTAATGCTGAAAGCATGGCTAACTGTAATGCATACTCTAAAAAAGGATTAATTCAAACTTAAAATTCATGTAGGAAATATTATTTAGATCAAAATTAGGACTTAAAGAATAAATCATCATTAAAGTGACAACAAATTATATTATATAGTGAGGTAATTCTCCAGTGTTTTTAACATGTCCAATAATACGCTGCAATAAAAAATAAGAGTCAATTATAAGAAGAGCTACTATTTGTAGTGAAACCTTGACCCTATTTGAAGATGTTTTAGTACAATTTTTAGAAAAAATTAAAGATGACACAGTCATAAAATACATAAGCTCTGGCAATTTGTTGGAGGAGCCACAATTTTTTATAATTGTCAAATCTTTATTTATATTTGTGGCAATACCATCAATCATAAAGATTCAGCTTGGTATATTTACACATGAATAGGACCTGTTATCACAATTATTTTCCATTTTCTGCTAGCTTTTAAAAAGTAATTTTGGATAAGCATTGTAAGAAACATGTATAACAATACATAAATCAAGATGAAATCTAATTTTGATGCATTTAAGGTATTGCAGGAAGTCACATAACTCTCTGCCTAACAGGACCTCATTCCTCAACTAGGAATAAGATTTTATCTATTTCTCAAAAATAAAAACCTAATTTTATATTTGGAAAACATAGATAAAAGCTAAAACTGGAACAAGCATATCCCTGAAAATAAAGTTCTAGGGTAAAAAGGAACTGAACTAGATTCTGTGTTGTTGGGAAAATATGGTAGCAAGAAGTACTTTATTTGGGGAAAAAAAGCCAATGGGCTGGATTAAATTTTTTTCATGCATAAATATGGGAGATGCCAAGGACGTCAGGGTAATTAAACTTCACAGACTAATAATCCATGGCTGCATGTTGGTGAACATTCTTGTTATGATACACGAGGTATCTATCTGCAAGAGGATGTGAAACTTAATCAACTAAAGAGCTGCCGATATTTTGGTTTCAAAGGTCTGAATCTTACCAAAAAGCATACTAGAAGGTTGTGATAACAGATGAAGTTTAAGCTTTATGATGATGTGTCTCAGGGAAAAAGAACAACAGCACAAATTTGTGCACATTAAGAAATGTTACTGTTCTCTATCTTTCATACTGTTATATCTTGTAAATTCTTGATAGTGCTAAAAGAGTTCAGAAAGAGGTCTTGAGGGTATGAAGACGCATAACTAGATTTCTCACTTACATGAATTCTAATATAAATTTAAAGCATCTCAATTTCAAAGTTCAAAAAATAAATGAGGCTATTTCAAGAAAACAAATCAAAAAGCAGCCAAGAGGTAAAATGCATAACTTTTACTCTCTCTCAGGCACTATATTCTGCCGTTACATTATGAGAAATATATTTTGTCTTCAGATAAAGTTATAAAGTCAACTTATTGTCACATCACTTTTTTATTCTTACACATCTGAATAAAAGTTTGAGAAGAACGACTAAAGAGTAGTATTTCTCATACAAGAAATATAGGCCTTCCTCCCCTGATTTCATTGTTAAAATTTAAAAGACGTAAAGCAGAACAATATACTGTCATTTTTACAAAAATCATCATTCAAAGATAGATTGGTCTAGTCAGACTAAGCAAATTACAAGAAACCTGATAGTCTTAAAATGGCAAGAGAAATTACTTCTGAAGATCTCAAAGCGGGTGATCAGGCTAACTATACTTATCACAGTTCTTTCTTGAACTATCTGTAAGAAAATGCATCCTTTTCTTTGATGCAATGCTTTAACAATCAAATAACTAAAAAATATTTTTTCTTGACTATTTTTAATAATAAGAATTTATTAAAGCCATCAATAACTCCCCAGTGTTTCATTAATATCAGTGACCTCACAGGAAGTTGTAACTCATAGTAACACACTCCAACATTCATGATTATGCAGTGATCTTATTTAATATTATGCAAAAGAGAGGTTAGATAGGGTCTCCCTAAAGGTTTAAAACACAATTCTGATACTGTGTCTATTTTCACAAGTAGTGGGATGATTACAAGTGAATTAGCAGGTCAAAGCAGAGAAGACCCTACAGCTAAATTGTGTTACATGGCATTATAGTTAATTTGACCACCAGGACTAAGTGCAATCCACGCTGAGGTTGCACAAGGCCAGCATCTCCCTCTGGGCTGGGGGAAGAGGAGGGAACACGTGGCAGGCAATAGGGCAGGTTCTGGCACCCTGGCTTGCCCAGCCAGGAACAGGGCATCCCTCCCACAGGCGCTGGGGCTGCTCCATGGACAGGGTGAGGATCTGACCTGGTGAGGGGAACCAGTGTCTCACAAAACCCTGAAGCAACTTAATTTTCTCCAAATGATGGACTCAGGCTGGAGCTGGGTCAGGACATCAGCCCACAGGCTGGACTCATATGAGACACTTTTTCTCACATATGAAACACTTTCTCACAACTACAGGAAAAACTACACTTGAACCTTTGGTAAGCCAAACAGAGAGAAGCCGGCAAAGAAAGAAGCAATGA